AATGGCTGAAAGGCGGTCTTTCTGCTTGGAGTACCATGTAAGTGGTTTGTTAATTTCTGGATCAAAGTGTGCTTTGTCAAAAGCTTCTTCCATTCTGAATCTCCATGCACCATTCCCCCATTTTATGTGCATTTGTTCTTTCCACCAGGACCAAGTTTGTTTACCATGTTCTGCACGCATCAGGTTGTACCATTTTTTGGCAGAATTATATAGTATGATACATAATTTTCCTGTGATAGCAATATCTTTAAGTTCAAAGTCTTCTTGAAACATATCAATGGTTTTAATAAATTCTACGTGGTTATATTCTCCTTCACCACTGAATCTTGGCCAATCCTTGACTTTAGGTGCTTCTTTGGACATATCAGATTGGGTACTTCCAGCAGTATGTTCTACTGGTGGTCTTGGGGATCCAAGATTTGGATGGGGTATTAATTGTGGTGAGAGACTTGTTGACCTTGTAGGAGCCTCTGTGTTTGAGGGAGGATAGATTTTTTCATTATTCAGTAGTGTATCTAATTTATTATTAATTGTACTATATTGGATGAGGAAGGAATTGTTCAATTCCTTAATTTTGTTGTCAACTATTTGTTGATGTTTTGCAAGGGAATTTTGATTATCTTGATGTTGAGATTTCAACGTGTCAGTGTATTGTTCCATTTGCTGACAGATGGACAATAACAACTTGTGGTTTTCATCAATGTCAGAAATAATTGAGTCATATTTGTCTTGAATCTCAAGTGAAGGATCCTCTTGTTTATCTTCCAATGGTTTCTTGGTATTAATCTCAAGTCCTCTTATTTTATCTATAATAGTTCCTGTAAGATTTTCTAACACCTCAAATTTGTCAAATGTTTTAGCAAAATCATTGTCAATTTTGTAGGAATTTTATCAAGAATTTTCTTGTTTTCCTCTGTTACAGAAAAATTGGATCTAAGTATCTCAGAAAAGATAGACATTGAATTGGCAGTGGCCATAGAATTAGCCAATGTTTTCTCAGTCGAGGCTGAAAGTAGTTTAAAGTCAGACATCAGGTTGTTACTTGAGTAGAGAATGTCAAGTTTCTCGTCAAAATTTACAAAACGAGCGTGTATTTCGTCAATAAGTGTGGTATGGAGAGAGGCTAGAGTAGTATGTACAAGCTGTAAGTCTAGTCTTTCTTGCGGCGCTTGGAGGCTTCCTCCTCCTTGCGTAACTCTTCTAATATCTGAGCTCTGGCTTGCTGTAAGGCTCTGGCTGCCGCCATTGTTTCTCGCCAGGAGGTGTCGAGCTTCGGTATCTTGCCGATCTTGTTGAGGTCTGTCTCTGCTGGCCTTTTCCCGCGTTGGTTGTTGGAGGAGGTGTAACTCCCGGAGGGTCGAGACCCGCTTTCCGTCGGCTGCGCTCGTCCTTCCAACTTCGCTAGTAATTTGGCCGATTTGGCCTCCTTGAATGGATTCCATCCGTTGTTGATGGAGAGAGCAAACTGCCAGGTCAGTTTCTTGGATATGTTGCGGTACGAGCGCTGGCACTCTGTCAGCGCTCTCGTTGCGTCGGCGTGCTGGTTTGCTTTCTTCGCCGTTTCGTACATGTGAAACTGCTGGCGGTAGATTCTGCAAGCTTGGTCTTCGACCTCGTTTAGCTCTGAAATTATCAGTGGTAAGCGTTTGGTTAAATATATCTAATGAGTCGTCAGAGGAACAAACTGACTCATTGGTTCTATATCCATTGAAGGATCCGCTCCTTCGTTCGGGTCTAGATCCTCCGGTTGGTCTATATCCATCGAGTCCGACGGTTGGTTCGGGGCGGTCTTGGGGCCCTTCAATTCCTGAGGGTAGTTCTGTACTATGACTCGGGTGTCTGCCGGTGGATCTGAAATGGTCGGCGTTGGTCGTCTCGACGAGGTTGACATTGGTATGACCACCGCTATAGCTTGTCTCTTCTTGGCCTTCTCTGATGATGGCTGGGTTGGGATTAGCTTTGCCGGTGCTTTCGTTGGTAGGAATAGTGCCGATGGTTTTGCGGCGGTTTTCGCCGGCGATTTCTTGGGAGTCGTCGATAGGGTCTTTTTCTTGCCTGGTAAGTCGAACAGCTTCGGCGAGGTTGGTTTCAACGTTGGGCTTGTTGCCTTCGACTGAGGAGGGTTTGAGCTGACTTTTGAAGGTGGGATTGATTTGTCCAGCTTCGAGGGGGTCGCCGTCTTTTCGCGCGATGCTCCGAGGTTGTCTTTTCCCTTCGTGGACGCTCCGAGTTGTACTGGATCGTCTGCTGCTGGTTACAGAAGAAGCCTCTGAGTAAGTCTTTCCAGATCTGGTGGAAGGAGACATGTTCAAGATTGCTTACGTAAGGCGCTGTCCGCAGCTAAAGTGACGCTTTCGAGTAAGGTGTTAGCTTGATTGAATAATCCTTTGACCTCTGGGTTGAAGGCTGATGGTTCTTCTTTGTTGGTATCGGTGGATACTTCAGAAAGGACTGAAGGGCTAGGAGCTTCAGTTGTAGGGGTCTGTGCTTCAAAGTTGCTCACTTTGAAAGAAGGAAAAAAAAATGTTAATTAATTTTTAGTTTTTAATGATTTTTCAATGAGATTTTTGTAAGAAAAAATGGAAAATAACCGTACTTTTTATGGGAGTTTTTTAGGTTAGTTTTATTTGTATTTTTAGTTGATTTTTGTGCAAAAAAATTGCTTTTTTCTAGATGAGAAAAGTTCTAAAAATGAAAAAGAAAATATGGTCTTTGGGTAAAAAACCGGATGAGGCCCCCAAATGTAAGGTCTGGATATGAAACTAGAAGGAAACTCTAGTACTATTCCTGTCCTAATAAAATTTGGTTAGTAATTTTATATTAATTTTTAAAGTTTAAAGTATATTTAAACTTACAAAAAAAAGGGGATTGTTGGTTAAACAATCAAAGAAATTATAACCTCACAATATTACTTGTTAAGAGGCCTAGAGTTGAGTTTTAATCAATACTCTGAATTCCAAAGGAGGAATTGAGGAAGGGTGAATTGTTTGTTAGACAATAGATCACAAGGATTTCGTCCAAAAAGGTCTTTTGGATGAGTTGAAGATTCCTGGGCAATTTCTAGAGCAATACTTCTGCAACAGAAAGTAAGAAAATGGCCAATTTTAAAGGAATAAAGAGCTGGGATCTTTTAAGGGCAAAGGCTACAGGTTAAGGCTGAAGGTAGCAGTAAAAGAGGAGCTCTGTTTCGTGGTTGGAATGCTAAGGTTGATAAGAGAAATGGTTGGAAATGCTGGCTTCAAGTATATAGTAGTATATATGGTGAAGTGGGTGAATTTCTGAGGTTTAAGCACTCAATAAAGGAGTCCTTATATAGCCACACACCTGAGGGTGGCTTACAGTGCAATTTTGCACGATGACACTGATGCTTTGGGCTTGTTTTGCTGGGTGTAAGCCATGCCCAAGGCCTTGGTTATCAGTATCCCAAAGGCTGAAACAGTTGTAACTGTAACCACGGGTACAGCTACCCAGTCAGGAAGTAATGATGCAATGCCAAGTTATTGCTAGGGTTCTATATGCCCAAAGAAGACTTTTTGTTTCGTCTCCAATCCATTTTGGAGGGATTTGGTTGAGGCATTCTGATATGTACTGGCTGAGAACAGGTTAAACTACTTGGGCCAGATTGAAATGGGCCAATTCTCAACCCTGTTGATTTCAAACTGGACCAGGGTTGTTCTGGTGGATGGCTGATGTAAGAGGATATTCTGAGTTCGCTCAGAAAGGCTATTAAGGTTAGGGATAAACAAAACAGGTTACATGACCAAGTGGCTGGTCAGGGTTCAGAATATGTGGTCTAAACTGGTTACTTGGTTGTAGTTGCTGAGCTACAAGGTTGTACATGTTGCACAAGCCTTGAAACCTTGTTTATCTTGAGTTCGCATCCAATGAACTTTGTTTATGTCATCAGCTGATTTGGTTCTGTAACTTTAAATGTCTGTAACTCTTTAGTTATTGATTATTTTACAGAATTCTTTGTTTTTTCAGTATGTAGTTACACAGTGGTATGTAACTACATGAATTTTGTTTTTATTTTCTAAGTAAAGTAAAAAAAGTTTATTTTTATTTTTAAAGGCCTTTGTGGTCATTTGCAGGCTTTTGACCATATACACTTTTATATATAGATTTTTATGCTTAATATTAATTTATTATTTATAATATTTTTTCTTGGGCTGGTCTTGAGACTTGACCATGAGTTGTAATTGTTATTTTTATTATTTTATGTTTTGAGGCCTATGGGTATGTATATACCTCAAGGCTGACATGCAAGGATCTACATACATACAGATCTTCCGTACTACCACTCCCGCCTAGTACATCACCCCTCCTACTAAAACCGTTGAAAGTGATCTTTCCTGATCTTTGAGAGAGTGTAGCTCCTTCATTATTTGAGCTACATCGACAAACAAGATACAGAACTCATCGCCTTTATAAGACGTATCCAGCGCCGCTTTCTAATCCATCCTCACTCAACTCCTTCACCCAGTTTCAGTAGCAAACACCGACCTCTCAAGTTTTCGACCAGAAGTACCTTGAAATATTTCATTCTGAAAAGTTGAGCGTGTTCCTTAGCTTCTGAACTTATCTCTCGAACAAAAAATTTCCGAAAAAGCTCAAAAATTGGTTGTGTAACAGTGTCCGCCGTCAACAGCACCCTTAGCGCTAATATCCAAAACTTGGAAGTACACAACAAAAACACTGCGCCACGAGACAATAGAGCCCAATCTCCTCAAACAACTAATAGGGAAGCCTCAGATAAATCCTCAGGTAAATTTAACACCTCTACATATTTTTTTATTATCAATTTCCGCCGGGTTAAATTTTCCTACTAAGACCTGTTTTTTTACCATGTCTCCACCTTCTCTCAGACTTAGAGGTTATAATGGAAGGACCAGAGACGCTCCACCATCCCAGAGAGGATTTCCACCAGCTTCAGTTTTACCAAAGAATAAAGATAAAATTATTTACGCGTCAAAAAAGAAACTAACATCTCCTACTAACAGTTCCCAAGGAGGAGAAATTAGAGCGCTATTACTACAGGATGAAGACCAACAAGGAATGGTTGAAGGATGTGCGCAACCGCAGCAGCTACTCGGCCATCAGAGCTCATCTAAAGTATTGCCGGGAGGATTTCCAAGCGATGATAGACTTAAGAGGAATGACGACGACCCTCAAAAGAACCAAGGGTTGGAACCCATTACACGTGACGGCAGAAAGTCTCCTTCAACCACGAGAAGCGCCGGACCTTCAAGAAGGATCAATGAGACCCCTGAGTCGCAGAGGGAGGAATACCCATTCAAGACACCCAAGGAATACGGGGAGGAACACTCAATGGCGCAGCCAGATCTACGAAGAAATGGTACGCCTTGGGAGGTCTCTTCAAGGGACTTATCAACACTTGGAGAAAGGCAAAATCAACCTCCAACACCGCTTCAAGGAAGAGGAGCCTGAAATACTTCCCCTACACCTGCGAGTGAAAAAACTCCTGATAGTTCTGATAGTGATTCTACTAGTAGGAAATCTAAATTATTGTCTAGTGATTACTCTACGCCCCAAGTCCCCCATGAACATATCCCAATAGAAATTTCTCTACGCAGAGCTGTTAATATGTTTACTGAAAACATGAATTTGTTAGTACAACATACCTTAAGAAATAACAGAAAAATTACCACTGATATGAAGAAATTGTGCCGTAAAATTGAGGGCAGCTGGGATAAAAGAGCTGATGAAGAAGATAATAATTTTACTTACATTAGAGATAAAGTTATGATCATGGAGACTGGCCTTGAATTATTACATAAAGAAATGCCAGAAATGCTTAAGAAATTAGGAGATCACACCACTCTAGTAATAACCATAGTAGAAGAAAAATGGGAAGATATACAAAATAATAACAA